CTAGTTATTGACCATATAAATTGAAATAAATTCTTAACTGATACTTTGATGTATTAGTAAATGAAGAGCCTGTTCCCACCTTTCCAAAAAGTTCACTTAAGTATTCACTGACTAAAAAGTTCAGAACATTCCTGCAGCTCTGGGACCTCAGACCACACACTCATATTTAGTGGAAGCCAAAGAACGGTAAGTCCTTTATTTTTACAGGGCGTGATCATTCCCCCACCTGCAGAGATAAAACTATTGCTGTTATTAGCTCTTCTAAAAACACATGGACAAATACATGTGTTTGGAGTTTTTTTTTAAATAAAAATGCAAATAGAACAAGGTCAAACACCAGACGCTTTACCAGTGTTGTCTGTTGTCTGTGGTCATGAAAATTAGAGTTGAAGGCCTCCAGAGATACTGAACCAGCAGTTAGGCATTAAGATTGGAGCTGCTTTCTTCATGCAGGAATTTACTAATTAGAGGTGAATTAATGCTTTAGCTTGGTGACACTAATCTTCTTAAGCTCATTGAAACAAAAGGAAAATGTCTTCTGAGAGGTAATTCAGAGAAGCTAAGATAAGTTCCTGCTTTGAATCATCCTCCAGAGAAAAGAGTGCACTAAATAATGCAAAATATTGGGCTAGGCTTGGCTTGGCTTCTCTCCTCTGCTACATAAAAAGTTGTATTTGCCTCAGAAATTGTGAAGGTCAATGGAAGCAAGTAGAGTGTCACATAAGTAGTGAGGTAAGTTCTCTACACACTTCTCTCACAACTTGATGCCAGAGGTGAGTGTCATCTCTTAGATGTTCAGTTTTGCCTGTTGTATAGCTTCTCCTTCCAGCTGCAAGTAGAAGAAAGAAGGACCCCTTCACATATTAGAAGCACTGAATTAGATCCTACTTGAGACACTCAAATGGGATAAAATAGAGAGATCCACTTTGATTTAAAACCTTGGGGAAAGCTTTTCTATTTTCCAACTGCCTCAGCTCAGTAAGAGCTGCCTTTTTACCCCATGTACCTACCTGACCTTGCTTTTTTATTTTACACTATTAGAGCTATCACAATGCTACAACTATGAGCTAGGGTTTACCAGGCAATGCTTAGGTAGAGAAGCATAGTGGCAGAAAGCCCATCCTATAAAATAAGTCCCATAGTCCAACATTTTCTGTAAAACACATGAACATTTAGTAGTAAGGTAGATGTGGTGGAATGGTACAGAACAGTGTTGACATAAACCATTATTCATAGTCCAGCTCAGTAGATTTCAAGGAATTTAATACTGAAAAGGGTTGAGAAAAAAGGGACTTGATTTGCACAAGGTCTGGCAGAATTAAAGCTTTCAATCTATTTGCCTCTTCAGTCAAGGCAGTTACAAGCTATCTTGCTAAAGACCTACAGAGTGAGCTCTAATAAAAGATGTACACACCTACTGCARGATTGAGATGAGAGAAAGTCATGCATTTCGATCCAAAATTGTAATCCCTGCCCAGCTGCCACCCAACCAGGAACATGTCTGAACTCAGAAGGCACCTCCCTTTCGCACAACCCCCCACAATACCTACAGTTTTACTTTTGTCATGCCCAGAACTGCCCTTATTTGAGCAACTTGGCATCTTATTCAAATCTAAGCCCAGTCAGAATCTCCAAAGAAGGGGAGCCTTAGACTACTTAAAATATACTGAACTGCACATCAGCAGAATAAGGTACTCCCCAAAAGACACTTTCCCAAGAGTGAGTCCAAATGCAATGGCACACCTCAAGCAAAAATTGATTTCAGGTTTCTCAAGTGTTGGTTTACCTCTTCTAGCCCTCAGGCTATTGTGAAATGTTTTATGGCAGCAGCACTTCCACATAAAATGAAATCAGTCCTGGCAAGAGGTTGTGAGAAGGAAGGAATGTGAGAAGAGCTACCCATCTCCCCTGGTATAACTAATCCTTGGATTCAAGGCACTAACAGGCCAAATAACAAATGCATACTTGAATTTGCAGCAAGCATACTGAACTCCAGTGTACCGGGGGAGAGGGGAACCCATCTCTATGGAAAAGTTCTGATCCAATGCCTTACAATTTAAAATATGGAAAGCCTCCAGAGAGTGGGGACAGGATGACCACCATGAATCCTCCTGGACTACAAGTCTTTAAGCAATAGAATAGTAAAAATTTTTCCTTTAAACAATAGGAAAACATTGCCCTGCATGTTAAACCTATCCTAATGCTTGCAACAGGGTGAGAATAGTAGCATGACTACTAAAAGTTCAATACCAACAGTTCTGGCAGCTAAGGCTTTCATCCAGTGACATATACAAAACTGCACATAAAATGATGTGGTTAAGCAGTTGAACAGAAGATACAAAAAAATCAATCATCTTTCCCTTCTAAGCCTCTGGTTTTTAAGTGCTCTGCGTGAGGCATGCTGTTTACAGACAGCCTCTGTTACCTGACAGCCTTGTTGCTGTTGAAACTTTACATAAATAAAACATTTTCCCAGGGCTGATTTTGATCTTGCTGACACTGCAATATATCAGGACTATTGTTAATACCATAACTGGAATAATTACACAAGCTTAAAACTAAAAGGGGGGTGAGGAGTGGAGGAAGAAGGAGTGTTTGATACCAGACAAAGACGCTCAGTGAGCAGTCATCCACATTCAGTTCAGTTTCATGATTCATTTTCCGACAGTTTTTGAGGGATTTTGTCCAATTTTTTTTTTTTTTTCAGTGGCTTCTGGGAAGACATATTTCCTACCCATAATAAAACTTTTCCTCCCCTCAAAATGGAAAGATAATAGATCATAGATTGCACATGCTTTGCTCCAGGTTTATAGCAAGTTTTCAAGTAATGTAATTCTGAAGGTTGAAAGTTCRGTTAAGATTTTGGAGCAAGAGAACCTTTTAAAAATCAGGTATGAAATGCCTGTGGCTGGCGTGATGAAGAACGGCAGTGAGGGGGCCAACCAAGGTGACATGTAGTTCTGTTTAGCAACTGACCTGGACCACTAAACACACAGCTAAGCTCCATGAGAAGACTGGTGGCACTTCCAAGGCCAGCTTGAGCATCTACATTTTCTGGTAATTTTTGGCCACCACCTAAGCCATTCATAGTAATTCAGAACGGGAACGGAGCCTTTGCACTTTCAGGAGATCCCTGCAGGCCTTTACCAGGGACTTTCCTGCTCAAAGTTTACTCTTCCTCTGAATGTAGCAGGAGATCCTTGCAGAACTCCTGTGTGCATCCATGCCAAGTCTCTGGCTGTTAAGATTGTGTGCATTTTTCATACAGTAGTGCTAGAGGCAATGGGCCATGTCTCCATCCCTCTCCACTTCTGCAGATGTAACTAGCTCACTTTTACTGATTGGTTGTGCCCATGCATTTTCCTGAGTAGGCTGATTTCTTGCTATTCCAGCTCAAAAAAGCACCACTAATGTGATGGTTTATTTCACTTTGTATGCAGCCTATTCTGGAATTCATCTCATAATACTTATAAATTCCACTAGCTTATTATATTCTTCTAGCGGCAGTAGTGTTGTGTGATTCAGAAATATCTTTTAAAGGGGCCTGTGGTTTTGAAGAAACTTTTCCAGGACCAATTCAGCATTTCAAATTAACAAGTTTCTCTCTTTTTTTTTTCACTCATCCTTGAGATACGCAATGATACTGAATGATGGATCAAAATGTTCAGATTCATGTGCAGAACAGTGACTAATTGAAAATCTTCCTAGATAGGAAAACAAAGAACTGTCTTGCAGGCTTTTTTCAGATGGAGAGAAAAATTGCACAGCCTATATCCTTTCATATGCTCATTTGACGCCATATACACACTCAAAAGCTTGGACAGACAAAAATATTTTAATCATGACTTAGGTGAATTTTTGCATTAATAAAAATGTTACTTTTAAAAATTACAACTAACTTGGAAAGTTGGAAAACTTCCATCCAAGGCATTTGTTCTAAAGTTTATTAGCAATATAAACTAAAGAAAGTTGACTGCTAATTGATGTATCAGTAATACATGTCCATGCAGACTGCATTTTCAACAGGTGCAGTTATTTACGTCTGTGGAGCCTACATCCATCTTAGCCAGGGGCTTCTTCGAGGTCATTTCTCTGTTAAATTGCCAAAACCAAATATACTGCAGTTAAGAATTTTCTACTTCTGTTGCTGCAATTTTGTGCTAAATGGCACAAAAATAAGGTCACTGTTTTTCAGTTAATGTTATAAATCTTTCATTCACCATAGTCTGATTTCCCAACACAAAACAAATGGCTGCAAACACACACACACAAGCATGCACTCACACAAAAGCAAAATATGATTAATTTTTATAGATGTACACTGATACTGCAACCCTAACCTGAGCTATCTCGAATACAGTGATGAATACTTATATTTTAGCAATTACACCAACGTATGCCCCGAGTTTACAAAGAACCTCTATTACAGAGCATGGCAAGACAGCGTCCCACCACTCCCCTATAAAAGTGAATCCCAGTGGTTAATATGCATGGCAGACATGCATGGGTCAATCTGCTCCTGGGAAAAATATAGCAGCGTTAAAGTGCAGAACTGTTAAATATTTGCATAGTTTTGAAATGAAACAGTTGAGAAAATATCTTTTTCTTCATCCCAAGGATGTCCAAGTTTCCACAATTGTTCCTGGAGCAGCGATGTTTCTGTGTAAACTATTGTCAGTGCCGGGAGGAGGGAGCCCGACAAACGCCTCGCTCGCTCTGGACGCTAAACACAGCTAAAGTTTTCCATCTCCTCACTGCTTCCTTGCCCCCCCTCGCCCAGGTAACTCTGCCGCAATCAGCCATTGTCGCCTCTGTACACAGCCGAAGGGACCCACTGTCGGGGGTTGTGGGCAGCCGGGACAGGGCGGACGATGCGGAGGGGACCCTGTCCCTCTCCTGTCGAGCCCCTGTCTCCGCGCGGCGTGACCCAAGCGTCCGGGACCGGGTCCGCCACATCCCAGGTTGGCGGGGAAGGGCTGCTTTCCCCTCCCACCCCCGGCGGCTCCCGGCCGCCCCGCCACGTGCGGGGCCGTCCCGCCGCTGTCATCCACCCCAGCCGGAGGCAGGGAGCCGCCCTGGCCAGCGGCCAGCCCTCTCCTCGCAGCTACCTCCCCCGGCCGGCCGCTCCGCAGAGCGGGATCTTCCTGCCTCCGGTCCTACAAGTCACAGGGCAGAGTAACTCGCGGCAGAGCCGTCAGCAGCCCGCGGCAGCATGTCCGGCACCAAATACGTAGACTCGGAGGTAGGACCACCGGGGCGTGGGGCCGGGATGCTGCCCCTCCGCCCTGCAGCCGCCGCCGARTACCTGCAGCGGCTCGGGCCCCCGGGCTCCGTGACCCGTCCGAGAGGCGGGGAGCGGGGGCAGCTCGGCGGCAGGAGGGCGGACAGCTGGGCACCTGCGGGCAGGGACAGCGGCACAGGGCGAACCGGGGCGCGCGTTCCCACCGGGGCGCGGGGAGGGGGGCTGCTGGCGGCCGTGGGTAAAGAGCGGTATATAGAGAGCACTATAGCGAGAAGCACCGGGATGGAGAGGGCACGGTGATGGCCCTGCGTGAAGGGCAGTATAGGGGGGCAGTATAGTGAGGACAGTGTGCGGTGAGGGCTCCGTGCTCAGGTCAGCGCGGCCGGGGCGGTGTAGGGAGGGCTCTGCGCGGGGAGCCCCGGCCGCTCCCCACTGTGCCCGCGGGCCCACGCCAGCGCCCTCCCCGCCGAGGGGCCATTCGCTCCGCCCTGGGGCAACGCCGCGGGGCCGCGGCCGCCTGGTGGCGGGAGCGGGAGCCGGCGCCTGGCACCGCGGGGGTGTGGTGTGCGCCCCGCGGCCGCGGTTAAATAGCCGGGAGGGCCGCCCCGCAGCCAGGATCCCGCTGCCCGCGGGACCCGGGGCCGCCTCCCCAGCCCGCCTCCTGCGCGGCGCGGACCGGCCCTGCCCTCCCGCCTCAGCTGGGCTCTCCCCTCCCGCCCGCGCTCCCTCTGCTCCCCGCAGGGCTTTCTGTACACGGCGCCCGTCCGGGAGCAGGGCAACATCTACAAGCCCAACAACAAGATGATGGCAGATGAGCTGAGCGAAAAGGCGGTGCACGACGTGCACACCAAAGAGATCGACCTGGTCAACCGAGACCCCAAGCACCTCAACGACGACGTGGTTAAGGTGAGGGGCCGAAGCGGGACGGCGCGGGGGMGATACCGGGTCCTGCCGAGGCAGAATACTCGGGCACTGTCAGGGCAGCAGAAGCCCGCGAACCTCATCCCTCCACCTGCTGCAGGAGGGAGCGGGCCAGGGGCTGATGCTTTTCCTTCTTTTAAAGAGAAGGGGGTGTGGGCAGGAGGGAGGCGGGCAGCGGCCAGGGCAGCCCTGTCTCGGGCGGGCCGCTCCGCTCTCCCCCGCGGGGTGCACCGGGCTGGGCTCGCCGCTGCCGGCCGGGGGTCCCGCCGCGGTGTGTGTGTGCCGGCAGGTCAGCTCTGCAGCCGGGACGTCCCGCCCGGGGCCGGGGAGCGCAGGGATGAGTTGCGTGACCTTGTGTAACACCGTCGGAAGGATTTTCCTTCCCCGAGGCGCGCACAGGGGCAGGGCGGGGAGATGTCACAAACCAGATCGCCCTCCCTAAGCCTGGCGGGTGCAAAATCAGAGGTCCTGATGGCGGTTGGATTTGTGTCCTTGTTCTGTTTTGTTCTCTTCGGTTTTTTTCCTTCCCTCGAGACATGATAAGCAAGCTAAGCAAAATCTGTGCCCTTGCCTAGATTTTTTGTTTGATTTTCTATGTCAGTGAGACTTTTTGACAAATCAGGGTCGATAGAGATTTTTGCCTGAAGTCACTTTTTCTAAGAGTTTTTCTCTTAGAAAAAATTTTTATACAGAGAAGTTTATATGTGTGTGATACAAATGAGAGTGTTTAAGATCTCTTAAAAATTCTTAAATTCTTAAAAATCAGCAAGGGTATGAGCAAAAGTCAGATTTAATAGTAAGCGACAAAGCATGAAAAGTTCATTGGCAAGATTCACTCTACTACTTACAGGACAGCTAAGACACAACAAGGGAAAACAAGCAACAACAAAATCAAACAAAATCCAGGCAATCAAAACAGAAATTAACTGAGAACTGTCTAGGGGTGTGTGTGTGTGTATTTAGGTGCATGTGTGACAAGAGACAGTGCCAGCAAGGATAAAAAGGAACAGGGCCAAAAAGCTTAACAAAACTCCAACTTAACAGTGCTTAAACTTAACTTATACCTTGAGCCTAACAATTTAACATAGGAAAAACAATTTATACCTGACTTAACTTATATCTTAAACTTAATTTATAGCTTAAGCTTAAAAATTTAACGGAAAGTAACACTTAAGAGCATTTAACCTAACTTATGACTTTGAAATTATACTTAGCAACTTGGCAAAAGAACAACATGTAGCAACGCTTAGCTTATAACTTACGGTTCACAACTTAGCARAAGAGCAACACTTAGCAGCATTTAAGTTTATAATTATAACTTAAATTTACCAGCCTAACTTACTTAGATAGATAAGGTACTTAAACATCTAAGAAAGCAGTATTTCTTTCAGATTTGCTATATAGCACAGGGGCATGCACATAAACAGTCAGTGCAAGCAAGATAACTGTGAAAAAAAATCATCCACAGAAGTGAATGAAATATAAACTTTGGATGCTTTTTCATCTCCCAGTGAGTGAAGGATCGGGCCTTGAGGAGCACCGAGGAGGTATTGGCTTAGGATATGTCTTGTTTCACTGATCCTCCAGGTATCACAAACCTGARSGTTTGCTGGCTCTGAGAGGTGTCCCACTCGTAGGAGGGTTGCTGATTGCAGGCCCAGTGTAGTCCAGGAGAGCTCAAAGGGCCCCATTTTGGACCGCTGTTTGTAGGGTTGCAAGAGAGTGGGCTTTAGTCATAACAATGCATCATCCTGGCCACAGTTTGTGCAGACACTTTCTCTGAAAGTGTGAGAACCGTTATGCCATTCAGGCCAGAGAAATATTTTCCAAGGCTGGTCATAAGGAAAACGGGAGCTTGTTAGTAGTTCCTGGGAGCTGACAGTATTTCTGATAAGCTCAAAAAGTGCTGAGCCAAGGTGCTGTTTTCAAAGCCAAGGCCTGACAAGCATTTCTCGGATCACACTGCAGCCTGGAAAGGAGTAGTGGGGAATGCACCACCACAGTGTGAAAATTGAGCATATAGTCATCTGGGTTTGTCAGATCCTAGGAAAAATGGAAGCTGCCCAGTCGTCATGGGTGACTGAGCCACTAACTGGCTTGCTTAGTGGCCATCAGTGTCTGAGCACGTGTAGTTCACCATGTTTGTTGTAAAGAAGACCCATTATTGAAAAAGAAAAATAATGTATTGTTCCCAAAGAATCAAGAGGTTGAACTCTGGTTCCTAAATGTGTATCTGTAAAATGATTCATGATATGTGCAGACAATTTAACAAGGTCACAAGTAAATTCAAATTCCAGACTTCAACACAATTTGAAGGTGCTGAATATGACTAGCCATGGACATATTGCCGGATCCATGCTAAGAATTATCCCTCACAGCAGCTTGTATCTTTAAGGAGCCATATATAAAGAAAAGGCATAAAATTTTTGATTGTTTAGAAAAAATCATCTGTGTACTTAATGGTATGAAACTGCCTTTGAAATGGTTGGTTTTAAAAAGGAGAGAGCAACTTTTTTTTCTCCTACCCACGGAGGAGCAGTTGAGTAGACAGGGAATGAAAGAGCTCGTGGATGACACTGCATCACAGTTTATTGTGTACATCAACAGAAGTCCCAAAGCAACCAGACCTTCTGAGGATGAGTCACAGCCCCCAAGCAAGTCAGAATCCTGGTGTCCACAAACCTAACCTTATGGAAGAAAGACCCTGCTGGGAAAAGAGTAAAACCACTAACAGAAAAAAAACATAATGGACCTAAAAAAAGCTGAAACATGCATAGCCCATCCTGCCCCCTCTGCCTCCCACAGAGGCAAGGATTAAGGAAGCTTGTTACATTCAAACTTCTGAAATTAACCTGAAAAATAGTAAGTATTGGGATGGAAAAAGCAAGCTTTTCAGTTTGTCCTTTTGAAACAATTGTGGACCAACGCATTCATTGAAAAAGAGCAAACAGCCAGAATACCAGTACTGCCTCTGTGTCAGCAAGTGAGCTCCTGGTAGTGAACATAGTCACATCAAGACCCAGGAATATACCACAATGAATCTGATGTTAACCAGGATCCATTTTATATCATAAAAACAGTAGTATTTCTACAAAATGGCATTGTAAAGCAACATTTTCTGTCTCGTTGCTTTAGGATAAATAACTTTGAATTTAAGTATTTCATAGATAGTCCAAGCTGAAGAGTAGAGAGAGGAATTTTGCCAGTTTGCATTTATATGGACCCTGTGTTCAGATTCAGTTTATTAGATGTAGTAATAAAATTCAGACCCAGTACCTAGGGAACAGGCTTGGACTGGGGTGAAAATACACAGACTCAGTTCCTGCCTTAGCCATCAATCTGTTGTCCCTTTCTGTCATGCATCTGCCTTTCTTACTTTGGCTGTAAACCATCCAGAGTGTAAAAGATATACTTGTATAACTGAATGAGTCCCCAGTCTTAGTCAGATACTGAAAATCAGAGAAAAATAAATGGGTAAGAGTCCTGTAAAGCCAGAAGTATGGCTCAGGCTGAATTCAATTTTGATTAGAGCCATTGCATTTTTCTAGGTTCAAAACATTCTGCTTTTTACCCAGCATTTTATGCATTTCTTGCCACTTGACGATGAGGCACAACAGCATGGAAACTGGGGACAAATCAGTCAGCCATGAAATAGGAATGATTAGGCAGAGAATGAGGAATCTGCTCTGTAAGCAGCTCTCTAAAAGGCCTCAGTGTTGTCTGTATTCAAATACTTCCCATAGCACATTTTAAAAATAACCTTCTCTTGCGAGAAGCAGAGACATGTTCCCTTGATTTGCAACACTGAGCATCTGCACAGCTTCCCCTGCAGCAGATGAGTGGTGCAGRCAGCACTAGGGTTGGGATCCAGGCAAGGGGGAGAAACCTGGTCAAGATCCTTTTATGAAAACCAGACACACGGAGCAGCTTTGCATCAAAGCTGTTGGTGACTTTGCTTATGGTTTGTCTCTGAATTAACTGCCAATTGGAAGCCAAGTGCTGGGAGAACTCCGGAAAAATGGGGGAGATGACTGGGGGTCTGTTCAGAGAGGGATGTGAACAAGGCCTTATGGAGCCTGAGATATGCAGGCAGTGGAGGTGACAGCTCTGCAGTGCAGGAAACACAGTCTAGTGAAAATCACCAGAATTTCCTTTTTGCCTCTATTTTTTCTGTGGAGACCAGAAAGGAAGGATTTTCTTCCTCATACAACCATCCTCATGCATCACCTTGGCAGCGGGAGAATGTGCTCTAGAGGACCTGTTCCTTCAGGCACTGGCTTGTGAAGGTGGCTAGTCAGGCAGGAGGCAAAGAAGGAATCCAGCGAGGGAGGAACAGCCCCTGTGCACCTGGGAGCCTCCAGGAGTCCTGCTGGTGATTATACAGGTGGTTTGCACTAGTTCTGTCTGTTTTGTATTTCTTTCACCGGGCGGTTCTCTCTTGGACTTGTGTCCTGCAAGTTTTATTGTGATGAGACACAACAAACAGGGTTCAAAGCTTACTGCTTTTTTTCTCGTTCATTCCCCAGTGACCCAGGACTCACATGAAGATGTCTGAAGTTCAGGCTTTGCTTTTCTTGTTTCCCAACACAGTATTTGTGTTTTCCAGAGTATGGCTAAATTGCAGCCTTCCAGTTCTGGAGTGCAGACTTTCTCAACTTCAAGTCTGTGTTCAACTCTGCACAGAGTTTACTGAATTTGGGAGATGCAGAGGAGGGATCCAGTTCCTCCTACAGATTGCTCTTCTCAGTAACTTCCTTGCTTCTTGCTGAGAAAGGGGATGGACCTTGCAGCCAACCCTGCAAAGTCTAGTCCTTTGGGACTAGTGAGGACCAGCTGTGCAGTCACATCTGCAGCCAGCTTACATTTTTTTTCTGGCAGTGATAATGCCAGGAAGAAAGGCCGGTGTCTGGTCTGCCATCCAGAATGTRATTATTCTTTCTTTTAAAACAAATGGTGTCTGTTGACTGTTGTATAGGAGTCCTTTT